ACAAATGCGCCTGTCACATGCAAACACTTAGAGCAGAAAATAAAAGTATTGAGAAAAATTACAAAGGTTCCTCCAAAGTCTAATTAAACAAAGACACAAGTTCCTTTTCGAAATAACACATTCTCCCTTAAAGCGTTTACAATAACATTAACAACCCCTTCATGTTTGTATCTTGATGCTAAAATCTGGAAAAAAAAATGTGAGTAAACTCAAATGCCCACTTGAACATTATGATTCTTCACAGCTGAAAGAGTAATCTCGGATCCGAAGTCATTGCACGAGGGATGAGTCGACTTCAGAAGTTTTAATAGAACATCTGTCCTAAATACGTACACTCCTATTGATGCAATGTAGGGAATTTCTGCAGCTTCTTCATTAGAAAGTCCTAGAAGAGAGGTGTCGACTTGCTGCATGACATCACCGAACATAGCCAAAAGAGTGAAGAAAGCATGTGTATAAAAAAATTATAATAACATGTGACAAAAACAAATCTTCGCAATCCAAATAAATTACAATTATATAATAAATCTATAAAGGTCGTATGTAAGAGCTGCTGATTACCATAGACTTAAGAGCAGAACCCTTTGGTTTCTCTGAAAAATGAATGATTCGGCCAGTTTCATCAATTTTCATTAGCCCGTAATATGAGGCTCGACTGTAATATGAAAATAAATTTATTAAAAAATAAATAAAAAAAATTGAAGAAAGTGTTCAATCATGAAGGTATTATTCATAAGCTTTATATGCTACAGTATGTCAACATACTCATTTAAATTGGCAGAGCCATAGACAGAAAATGTGATGACGCAAAATATGTGAGTTAATTTGAGCTGGCAAAAAACAAAACTCATTTCTAGGCATGTTTCGTTGCTTTTAAGTGAATTAAATTTGAAATAATGATTTAACATACCTATCATCCATGGGCACACAAGAAACAATAATATCTGCATTTGTATCAACATGTTTATGCAAAATCACATTTTACACTAGTAATCAAACAAGCAGAAGTAATTTCTCGGAAAAAATTGGTATATTGTAGTTGAGCTACTAAAGTACCTGGACAAAGTCCATTAGTCCATTCGATAAAGATGGTCGCCCGACAAAATTAATATATGCTCGACATTTTTATTTTTTGCATCCTATATAAACATATGTACATATCAACAAGTTAGTCCCAACTGAAAAATTACTCCAGATAAAAAAAAATGATCCAAAGAGTAAATTTTTTAACCACTCGCCTCAAAAACCCATATAAATTGCCGAACAACATTTGTTGTCCCTTGAAACCATATTTTTTCGGCTTCCCCTGATGTCTGAATGGCATCTAGAATCTAATATCCAAATTAATTATTCACATAATTTAAAATTATTAAGAAAAAAAGTTTTCCGAGTCCAAAAAGCATTCAAAAAACAAGAACTTCATCGTCATAGAAGTCTTCTCACCTCCACAAAACCATCTCCGAAGCTCACACCATATCCAAAATTATAAGTTCGAGCAAGGTGCCGACTGAGGGAGAAAGAATTAAACTGAGTTAAGATGAAAATCTTTCTAATCCCACTATTGATGCAGTTGCTCACATGCACATCAATTTACCTATAGCAACCACTAATTGGAACCTGCAAATATTGCATTTTTTTCAGGGAGAAAAAAAAATATCACCATAATAAGCTCATAATATATTTTCTTAACCACAACATTTATCGTTAATGTGACATCTCAAAGAAAAAGCCAATTCCCCCAATCTACATTAGAGACAATAAAAAATTCAATTGAAGTTAAATTAAATATAGATTTTTCTTCTTCTCTTACAACTGGTTTGAAGAAAATTTTTAGATCTAAAATCGATGCCGAACTAAAAATGAAGAGAACTCACCATCTTGCTCTGGAGCTTCTCAATAACGCCGATGAATCTTAGCCTGTAGCATGGAGGATCGCACCTCTAGGGTTTCAGAGTAGTATAAGAGGTAGTAGGACTTTTCGGCGAGGGTGAGAGGAAACACGCGAGAGGATCGATCTTCAAGGTGGCAGAACATTGTTCGGCGATGGTGGCAGCGACAGATTATTGGAGGGGAGGCACCGAAAAGAGAGATGTACAGTTTGGATATTAGAGAGACGAATGGATACTTTCTTTAATTCACTCTAGTCGGTGATGTTGCGTGTGCGGGAAAAATGAAAAAGCCTGTCAGTCTTCACTCTTCAGCAGTAAGCAACCTTAAGTGACCGAATAAAAAATGATGATGGCAATTTCATCTAATGCATAAAGTCAAGTGGCAAAGTTGTAAAAAAGGGGCAAAAAGGGTTTTTCCGTCCAAAAAGGACATGTGTCAACCCCAGAGAAAACCTTCATTGTTTGCTTATATGTATAGGAGAGATTTAATAAAAAAAAAAAAAAAACTATAAAAACAATGAGATGAAAAATAAAATAAAATAATATATTATTTGAAAAAATAAATAAATAAATATAAATGAATATGATTGAATAATATAATAAACTACAATTGACGTGTTTTAAAATTTATGAATTATTGATCGATAAGAGTTATTTAAGAATCATGGTGTATTTAATTGAATTTTTTTAAGAATTTTAAGAATCTCAAAATATTTATTTGAGATTTCAGAAAGTCTTACAAAATAGATTAGTCAATTTATTTATCATTTTAATTTGTCTGAATTTTGTAGTACTTATTAAGATTTATCAAAGAAAAAACTACATACGAAATCACATTTCAAATTCAACCTCCAAACATAATATCAAACGAACATATCATCTTAAAGTGGGCTTAAATACTAAGTTTTTTTTTTTTTTTTTTT